CGAGAGCGCTTGGGAGTAAAGAGAGCGCACAACCACGAGAGGATGGGACACAACGTTTAAATAAACACTGTAGGAGGGGCGTGGTGTTACGGCAACAGCTGGATGTGTTGAAACGTGGGATAATGGTGTAATGAGACACCAGTTGGTTATTGTGATTTTAGAAAGAGCGCGGACGTTCAATGGACCGTGAACATAGGCCTGCCCAAAGAGACCATACTTCCAGACGTGTAAGGCGAAAAGCTGAGCCTTAGGACTTCCAGGTATATTCGCAGGACCTTTCGGATGCATGCTGGAACCCATTATCATAGACGATAACAGGCCAAGTAAGTGGACGTACATAGAATACGGGGTACATTAAGCGTAGCCACCAAGCATCCAAACAATTGTTAAAAGTAGCAGCTACTGCACCTCGCACAAATGTCGGTAGGTGGTGCGATGACAGTCTGTCAGTCCAATTTAAGTCCCTACTGGCCGCGTGCCGTTTGTCGAGAAAGTTCATTCGCTCTTTATCACCCTACCCAGGGAAGTTCTTGGCACTAGATGGTAAGATGGAGATCAATGAGGCCGTTAATGGACCTTGGCTCTGAGAAGCTTATTTCATGCAACTCGTGAATCACGTGGCTTTTACCTCTCGCGAAAATGTCGTCCAGTTGAAACTCAGAGGTTTGATGGGTTTGCGCTGAGAAATCCGCGATTTGAGTTTTAACGTATTTTCTATCAATTGCTGTTACGTGTTCAGCAATCCTTGTCTGAATCAGTCTTCCGCTTGCTCCGAAGTAATCGATTTGCACCAAAATTTCACACAAGTTCACGTTGAGCTTACACACAGACCGAGTCTAGAAAACTGATTCTAGTGTTGCTACCACAGCTTGCCTGCTGCGGTCACGGACAAGGCAAATGTGCTAAGAAACAGGCAGATCATTCCGTGTGCAGCTGTCCGAACGCGAACCAGAGTTAACGGTGAATGATGTCCGTCATTGAATAATGATTCATCCACTAGCACGGCAGAGCACCTTTAAACTCGATGGCGATGGCTTGGAGAAAACCCCCTGTTTATCAGTACTAGTTATGCAATATAAATGGACCCATTCCTTAGTCGCCTATTTATTTTCCTGTCTACCACGGTGAACTAAGAACGTTTTTTGAAAAAAATTTGCCATCTCTTCTTCAAAACAAAGTTTATTCGTTTCCGCAGTTAGGTCACAGACCACGCTGTGAGCATGCAAAATTGCATCTCAGATGAATACTCGAAAGCGCATGTCGGACAGGAACCAGCGATGAGAAGAAATGATATTAAATTTAAAGTTGCCTTTCACTAACTAGTTCCAGAGGGCAATTTTGTGTTCGGTGGCACCGGCGTGGACATACCGTAGTGAGAACAGCATTACCGACAAAGACATGGGAAAATGGAATGGTTATTTCCGGATTATTAGACGTCGTCAGTCAGTCATACCCAACCACGACATGTGGAACACCTGGAGCTTACTCCCGTGACCTGTTTATTAGAAGTCCAGCGCAACCGACAGAACAACGAGCCCCTGGCTCCGTGGTTAGAGGCGTCGGACTTCTAACTAACAGGTCGCGGGATCGAACACCAGTTGTTCTTAACTTCGGGGGTGGGTTTCATTGGCTGACGACGGCTAATAAGCCAGAAATGGCCATTTCAGTCTTCCTTGTCTTTGTCGGTTATAACATTTTGCCTATGCCATGCGCCGCTATGCGGCCGCTGATCGGGCTCGAAAGACGGAGAGCCCATAAGGCACAACGGGACGAGTGATGTCCGTAAAAGCGATCAGTGAGTGCCCCTCTACCATATTACAGTGAGCACATTGACCAGCCAATATTAGTCATGGACGAAAGAGTTGTCATGCAAAGTGTAGTCAAATTAAGGGCGTTAACGCTCGTTCAGCTTCGGAATTAAGGAAACAGAGAATTCATCCAAGAGCCCCCAAAAAGTGCTTCCCCTCTCTCTCCGCTTATTAAATCAGTAGAGTAACTGAGTTAATTTAGGGCAACCAGATGTGCCTAACTCTGCTTTTATGATAACTATCTTGGAGAGGCTTTTCAACGTGGAAATAAAGAAGAAAAGACTCGGGAATTACTATTCGGAAATCTTCTCTCAATTCTCCGTCTACATCTATTTCGATGCATGCCTGCAAACTGCAGGCATTAATCTGACCTATTGTGCTACCTAGGTTTGAAAATGGAAGACAAAACCTTAAGTAATGTTAATATGTTTCATTTAACCCTCGTAGGCAAGTACAGAGACAAGGACTTCCTTATGGGAAAACAGGCATGAAAATGTGCATTCCGCGCGTTTTATAAAAAACAGTCTGACAAAAAATTCCAAAAACTAACATGTTTAGAAACTTAATAAACTCACAGTCTACAGTTTTATCAGGCATAAAACTTAAAAAAATGAAATACATAATAAAATTAATAAAGGAACATGGTCTGCATTAAGCATGTTTGCATTTATAATCATCTCGAAGATCAATTTAAAAGGATCATTAAGTAAGTTGTATTTTGGCCAGTTTGGATTTATGGGAAGCCAAAGGCCCTGCATTCAAAGGCCGACGTCCTGATATGGCTATGACATCTTAGGATAATCAATGTTTCATTACATTGCGTTATATTATATTAAAACTGTCACAATGAATTGGAACTATATTACTGCATTATATTGATGAGTACTGCTTTATTGTAACATGCCACTTTGTCATATATTACTCTGTATCTCCATATGTATTATTCTATTTTATCATCCCATCATGGTATCGAGATAATCGATAATTGAATCACACTCCAGATGTCCATTCCAACTGAAGCCATAGTCCAGAATTTCAGTTGATGTTTCGCAAGATACATCAACTATTGAATGACTGGTCAAGAAGTCGAGAACACATATTGGTCTGGCCAACGCTAGCCATCAGGCGAAAGCGGAAAATACGAGGACGCTATGACAACGACGGTGTCGGTAGTAGCGGTCATGGGTACGGAAATTTTAGTGCTCTGAGGGCGGAAGACGTTACAGCCTGCATCCACCTCCTGCTCCTCCTCCTGCTCCTCCTCCTCCTGCTCCTCCTCCTCCTCCTCCTCCTCCTCCTCCTCATAATCCTCATCATCATCACCGCCGTCATCGTCCTCGATCTCCGCTGTTTTACACAGATCCTTATACAACTTACAATCCACCTGGTCCACTGCGCTAAAATCATGAATATTAACTGCTGCTGCAATCGTCTGACTAGTAATCACACCCTAAACCACCGTTGGCCGGCATGACTTATGCAAGAAATTTCACAATGGCGTTTAACATATAGAAATCGGCTCTATTTTTGGTAGATCTCCTTTTCGTACTGGCATTTTGGCACTACAACCATCGAAGTAAGGCCTGTTGAAGTAATGCGTGAGGATGACTTCAACAAACATGGGACGCGTGTTCTGGTTCAGTTGTTTTGAAGAAAATCATTATGCGTTGTCAAAAGCTATGACCGTCTCATAGCCACATGATCCCTGCTGTCACCATCGGCGGATCCCATTTTCTTGATTACGCGTCGGTCTTCCAATTTGACGATTTCAGTGGAACCTGCAGTTGGACCCGTGTCCATCCTAATCTGAATAAAACTGCCTTGGCAAAGTAAATTTTATCCCAATATAGGTTGACGCCTAAAGCGTATCGAAAAAATATACTAACCGCTTGAAGGTCATTTACAACATGCTCCGGGTTATGTAACAATTTTATTGGTTGTATTTTCAAAGATGATGTGTGTCCTCTTACGCAGACCTTCGTATTTGTCGTTGTCTACACCGTCTTTTCATTCTGAATAGCTTCTGATCGTCTTTTTTCAAACCAGCTCACCGTGTTCCATGACAACAACCCTCCATCTCTCCAAGTCCACAGTCAGATGTTTTGGTCCAAGCATTACCCCCTCTAACTCACCCTCTAACTTGCCATATTCTCACAAGAAGACATTCGTTACATTTATGTTACGGCAGGGTTCTCTTGTCGGGCATTTTGTCCGTAGACTTCCTCAGAACGATACTCATCCGCTACGCCAAACCTCTGTCTCAAAAAATACTTCACCTACCTTTCTATCTCTCAATAAGTCGAAGTAATCCTTTCTAATCGGCATCATGTTTAAGAAATTCAAAATTGCTTTTCGAGAGATCCACCACCTGCTGTACTTTGAATGGCAACTACCGGCCTGATAAGAATTTACAACGTCAGCCAAATATAACCGCTTTCTACGGATTCAGAGTGCTCTCAGTCAGTTCTCCAAAAAATAGTTCTTCACTTGACTGCTATTTGGCTGAGAGATGTTCAGCATATAGGTTAATTAGCAATCGAAATTTCGGCCAGATGTCGTTATGTTGCCCCACCTGAAGTAAACAAACCCCAGCCACTTCTAATGCGGGACAGTGGTAATAGGGGTTTTTACAGGTGGGACAGGAGAACGCACAGGCAACGAGGTCAGGTAACTGAATGCAAAAGAAAAGCTATTGGGAATGCGCAGTTTTACTTTGAGTGGTTGAGAAATAGTTACCCTAACCCCTAGCCCAAACCCCTAACCCTAATCCCTAAGCCCAACCCCAACAGTAGTGTGCCCATGATGTGGGGCTACATAACCACATCTTACCGAAATTTCATCCCAGATCTGTCTGTTGGACGTGCCTCCGAGTCGTCAGCTGATTCCGGTCAGACCACATCTGCAGCCAGGAGCGGGACAGACCTATCAGACGGTCCCATGAGTCTGGACAAGAGGGAGCGTAGGTCTGTCGGGCTGGTAAACGGTAGGTACCGTGGAAAGGTGACGAAGCAGAAGAAGAAGCGATCGCTGGAACAAGGTCCTTAATCGCCTGACGTTTCGGATTCTCATTTGAATCCAACATCAGAGACAGAACATTTTCTGCTACTGTCTCTGATGATGGATTCAAGTGAGAATCCGAAAAGTCAGGCGGATAAAGACCTTGTTCCAGCGATCGCTTCTTCCTCTGATCAACTAGTTCCTGGAACTGGCATCTTCGCTTGTATCGGTAGGTGAGGAACCGTTTACACCCTGTCACACGAGGCCGCTGCGGCAATGGTGATGGCAGAAGCAACGGTCACGAGAGTAGAATTCCAAGTGCTCGGCAGGCAAGCGTCCTTTGCGTAGATTCAACTTCTACCTTGGCCCGATGCAGCGTTGGGGTAGTTTTTTTGCCTGTCCTCACCCCCCAGACCCTGGTCATTTCGAGTTCGCTATTTTACGTAAGTCCATTTTTTGTCCTCCGTCCCAACTACTGAAGGACAATGTTCTATTCTAAACTCTACTTTTATTCTTCATCCTAAACCCCATTAGCATCATTGGTTTGCGTCCCCGTATACGGACATGTGCGCAACTTACTTCTATTCAGTTCACTTCACCGCATTCTTCTTTATGCTCCTGCCTGCGCTGTCCCCCGAAAAAATGAAGATGCTCCTGAGGCGTAATCACCTGCATGTTCGGCCGGCGAGGACAACCATACAGCCGCCTCTAATCGCGCAGCTGGACGGAATTTGCCGACAGAAGCGAACAGGCGAGTTCCAGGAAGCAGATCAGAAGAAGAGGAATATGCGTCTCTGATGATGGGTTCGAATGAGAGTCCGAAACGTCAGGCCGATAACCTACTTGTTCCAGTGATTACCTCTTTTTCTTCCTCTGGACAGAAGTTCTTGGGCGACAAGGGAAGAGCGCGTTCAAGTCTGATCGGCACTAGGCATCTGAGAAAAACGAAGAAAGCCTTCGGCATCGTCCATAGTAGGTTGTCACCTTAATACTTGAGGCCGCTGTTGGGCCAATGACAACAGAGGCAGCGGTTATGGAAAATGAAAGGTGTTTATGTAGATTTATCTTCAGTCTTGATCATCTAAAGGCCCTTGTCCTGCGGATTTCCCCATTTCATCCAAAATCCCTTCACTACCCAACAGATAAGTGAAGTTGCTCCGTCTAAACAACTGCTATCATTCTTTGACCTCAGTATCATTGCCATTCTTCTGTCCAGCAATTCCAAATCCGCGCGTGCACAGCCTGCATCTGCCCATCCCCAGCTAAGCGGATGCACTCATCGGATGAGTAATCGCACCTCAAACCGCCTTTCGCCGCCATTTCATGTAAAGTGAGTGACCGGCCTCATGAAATGTCGACCAAAATTCGGATATGCCTTTTCGATTGGGAAGAATTACTTAGGTGACGTTACAATATTGATTATTATGCGGCGTAATCCTCTAATGTTTTGGACTCGCCAGGATGTCGGCTTTTGAATGCATTTCTTTTCAACCTTCTACAGAAACCGCTCTTGGTAAGAAATGACTCTTAAGTAGCATACATTTTCAACATTGATTTTTGATGATCTTATACATTCAAATATATTTCATAGGCAACATGGCTAAAAGTAGGCTTTCTTTCGCTCGTTCGGTAGGGAATCACGTTATCTTTACATTGTATACCTGAAGAAGGAGTATAATTGACTTTTGGAAAAGTTTCTAATTATGAGAGTTTTAAGACCGTGCAATGTCCAATCATACAGCATCGTACATGTCCTTCTGCCAATGATTCTCATGAAATGTAGGGCATGGTCCGCATCCACTGCAGTATTTTGAGAACTCTACATGGTATCTTTTTTAATGCATAGGGGAATATATGATTTTCCTTAGGCCGAAAAAATGTACCTTGTAGACTGAAATTGCCAAAAGCTAATGCAATGGCTGATCAGGCTCAAAATTATTCGAGCATTGGGAAACTTTTTCAAAACCTAAATATATATCCTTTCTTCAGGTATACAATGTAAAGATAACGTGATTCTCTGCCGAACGAGCGAAAGAAAGCCTACTTTTATCCATGTTTCCTATGAAGTATATTTGCATGAATAAGATCATCAAAAATCAATGCTGAAAATTTATGCTACTTAAGAGTCATTTCTTACCAAGTGCGGTTTCTGTAGAAGGTTAAAAAGAAATGCATTCAAAAGCCGACATCCTGGCGAGTCCGAAACATTAGAGGATTATGCCGCTTTATGATCAATATTGTAAGGGTACCTAAGTAATTCTTCCTAATCGAAAAGGCATATCCGAATTTCGGTGAACATTTCATGAAATCGATCACTCACTGTAGCTAGATGTACAAATAATCTCGTAGCAGTTGGCTCTATTGCCCTGCCATCCGCGATGTTCCCCTTTCTTCCAGGAGATTGTACCATGTGCCCGATTTCAATGAGCACGACCGTAGGCGTCCTAGTTCGTCTCGCATGGCGAAAACCAACCCTCTCTCGCCAAAAACTCTGGCCGTCCCAGCGACCTGTGATTCCTGTGGTCAGCGTTGGAGAAGTCCTTCCATCCTTTCAAGTGGTGGTTTTCCGATCAAACGATCGCGATGCAGCCTGCAGTTTATGCTGCTGCGAAATTGCGTCTAGTCATTTTTGAAGGCAATCGTTTTCTTGCATGAATACATTTTACGCTAGCGTGGAATGTTGACGTGCGAAGCGTATTGTAAGACATATGCTAATCACAATAGGCTTCGAGTTATCGATCATCATACCGACGACAATATTGATTTTGATGCTTGAGGGGGGCGATTAGATCGCCTCATCATGACTATTAAATTTATTCCCGCCGTGCGCTTGTAAGTAGCGGTACACTCATAACAGTTCAACATCATTCCAGAATACGTGCCCTCCTTCCTAGACCTTTGTAGTTTCCGCCGTCTAATCTCTCCCTGTTTATTCATATTGAATCGCTTATGATCATCATTTTAAATTAGTTCACACTGGTGACAGTGTTAACTCTTTCTATGCCTTCAAACAAAGCCACGTTTCTTCACTAAAATCTCATTCCTTTTATTCCTTGATTTTCTTCTTATTAGTCAGGCACTATCCGCTGACTGCTCAGTTGATTTGCTCGTCGGATACGTTTTTAGATAGGAATGCGCTTTATTCTGCAAGTATCAAAAGAAATTTTCGGCGGAAAGAGCTCTATTCACAGCGACAAGAAGTCTTACACAAAAATAGAAATCTATTACGGTGACAGTTCAAGCTACCTTTTGTATTTCTGCCTCTTTAAACGTAAGACATCGTTCCAGAAATGGCAATACAGAACGCTGGTATGATGATATACGGAAAGGGCTATGTCGGAAGTCTCGACGCATGTGGCGGAAATACTTTGTCGCCATTAGATCAGGATGAAGGGAATGGACAACGCCATTTAAAATTCGACCAGCAAATTGCTTGACAGTTTTGAAATGCCGTTGTATGATAATGTCGACTAGAAGGACGTAAGAAATGCCGAAAGCAGAAGAGAACATTCAGTGGATATGTTTTAAAATCAACCCATCTTTTTTTAAGCAAAGCAGGATAAATAACAGGAGAACAATAAACAATGAGAGGGAGGATGTCGGCACCTATGAATCCCCAGGCCACAGGTTGAGGTGTGTTGTGGGAACGTAAGCGACGAATGTGATAAAGAAGTTTCTGCACTCTGGTGAAAAGAGTGTCAGTATGAAGGGAAAATGAAAGATTTGGTGACAAAATAACACCAAAATACCTGAATGAGAATACCTCGTTGGGAAGGATGTCCAAGAATAGAGGACTAAGAGGGGTCGCCCTCAGGAAACCCACGGAACTAATTCCTGATTATTTAGTAAAAGAACACTTTTCAGCGACAATACTGAAACGTGATCCGAGCCATCCTTCAGAAAATGGAGATGTTTCTGAATTTTAAGAGGATGACCTCCAACATTTTCGTCCGAATACTCAACATACAGACAGTCGTTTGGCGATCTCAAGTTATCAGTGTGGAGGGAAAGGAGATTTGAACGGTCACGGATGTGAGATCAACTTTAATCACACGCAAAAACTTTATTCCGTATAATGTCAGAAGTCAAGGGGTCTGATGTGGTTATGTAGCCCCAGCTGAAGTAAACAAACCCCAGCCACCTGTAATACGGGACCGGTGGTAATAGGGATTTTTACACGTGGGGCGGGGGAACGCACTGACGACGAGGTCAAGTAGCTGTATGCAGATGAAAAGCTATTGGGAATGCGCGGTTTTACTTTGAGTGGCTGAGAAATAGTTGCCATAACCTCTAACACTAACCTATGATCCTAACGCCTAACTCTAACCCCTTACTATAACTCCCTAATCCCAACCCCAACAGTATTGTGTCCATCAGTTGGGGCTGCATAGGCACATCTTACCAGTCAAGGAGCTGTGAGAACAGGTTTATTCTGTACACAGGGCAGGTTGCCGTGAGTTGGATGTTTGCTTGCGCGTCGGAACACGTCCGTTCGACAGAGCGTAAGCCGTGGTGTCAGGTGTCCGCCTCTTCATGAGGGAACGCTGGGCTGAGTGTTGGTTTCTCTAGGGTCAGGGTCGGGTGGCACGATAACAGGGGGCGCAGGGGTAGGAAGTCAGGTTCTTCTACGGGCATGAGGCGGCAAAAGCTGGTGTGCGCAGCCATGACTCATTGCAGCCGAAGAAGAGACACCCCAGCTCGGGTCTAAGGGGTTGGCTGTGCGTCAGGGGTGTGTTCGGAGGTTGGCGCGGTTATCGCGGTCATTGACAGACAAATGACGCAGTGAAAGGGGACACTGAAGAGGCTGTTCCAAGTTGAGGGGATAAGATGTAACCTTGAGGAACTCCACGGCTGCTGGGGAGGACAGTAGACTTCCGCCTGCCAGATAGGACGGACTGAGTGCGGTAAGCAAAATAATCAACAAGTGAAGATTCAGCCTAGCCAGGAGAACTGCGCGCATATGTGTTGGCAAGAAGGAGATGGAGTGGAACGGTATTGAGGGCGGAGGAGTGGTCAAGGAATGCACATGCGTACCCACGGCAACTCTTATCAAGATCTCTTAGAGCAGAGTGGGCCACAAAAACA